GGGGCGGCACCCACAATACAGTGGGTGTGTGGGCCCCTGGCCTGGGACATTCAGCATAGGTTCCTGCAATTCTGGAAGCCTCCGAAGCCCCTGTCTCTTTCTGTCTGTCTGTCTGTCTACCTATCTACTGATCTATCTATGGTATGGTGCTGTAGGATAAGCACTGGACAGCTAACTACAAGATCAGCAGTTCAACTCCACCAGCTGCTCCTTGGAAATCCTCTCTGCTATGAGTCAGAAACACCTGAGCACGTAACAGCAGCAGCAACCTATCTGTCTGTCTGTCTGTCTGTCTGCCTATCAACTCTCTGTGTCTGTTTCTCACAGACCTCTGGTGACACAGTGGCTTAAGCATTGGGCTGTTAACCGAAGGATGAGGCTGTCTGAGTCTGTATGGACTCACGGCCTCCGAGCCCTTTGGAGCAGTTCTAGCCTGTTCTGTACGTGTCGTATCTTCTATCTGTATTGTGGCACTTAGGTTAAGCACTGGAACACTAGGTTGGCAGTTCAACCTCACCAGCCGCTCCTTAGAAACACTATGCAGAGTTGCTGTGAGTCGGAACTGGATTCAGTGACCCCAACATCCATCTACCTCGGTTTATCCCCCTGCGTGCCTCTGTCTTTATCTAGTTAACGTGGGGAAAATACTCACACCAAAACATCTGTCAACACAACCCCTTCATGGTTTATTTTCACCATCACTGTGGCCTTTTTGACATTTTTTTTATCGAGGTAAAACACAGTGAGCATAAACTTGGCCATCTTAGGCTTCTGTAGGCGCACGCGTCCCACTGACTGCGGAACCCTCACCCCAGACACACAGAAGAAGCCCCATATCATACAGGCAACCACTGTTAGAACGGGAATAATTCATCAGACAAGTCTAGGAACCTTTATCAATTGTCAGAAATCAAGGGCCATCAAAGAAATGAATTCAGTGGGAAGAAGAAATGCCATTATGTCTTGACTAGAAACCACAGCCTGCGGCAGACCAGAACCTTCTCTGTCCAAACTAACACACGAGGAGGTGAGGCCATGTTCCGAGCCCTAGTGGCACCACAGTTAAGTGCTCAGCTGCCAACTGAAAGGTCAGGGGTTTGAACCCACCCAGCAGGTCCATGGAAAAAAAACCTGGTGATCTATTCCTGTGAAAATGATGGCCTAAGAACCCCTTGGGGGCAGTTCTGCGCTGTCACATGGGGTTGATGAGAGTTGAAATTGACTCTCTAAGTCCTGCTAAGACTCTGGCCTTCTGAACCATTTCCAGCCCCGGCCTCTATCCAGCTGTCCTGTCCCCCCTCACCTCAGCATTTGTTAAAGGCTCCGCACCAGCAGAGATGGCAACGGCAGAGACACACTCTGGGGAGCGAGGCATCCGTGATGGCAGATGGTGACCAGGGGGAATGTTTATGGACTGAGGCAAACCCTGTGTCCCCTCACATGGCCTCACTCAAACCCGTATATTATGTAACAAAATGGCCTGGCTTCCAGAGAAGAATGTTCTCAAAGCAGTGATGATACAAACAGAAAAAAATGGGCCTGAATTCCTCCTGGACACGGGGCCTTTGTCATCAACAAGAATACACATCGCAGGACACACTGCAGTCTGAGCCACGTTCTCCCTGTCAAGTCTGCGTTTTGACGCCCCTGGAAACGCGGCATCATGCGTAGCTTTACATCCGGGCAGGAACCTGCTAACCAAGAGGATCAGCGCTGAGATGACCACTCGGTGACCACATGGTCATTGTTCTGACAGTGACCCTGTATGACAGAGGGGAACTGCCCCAATGGTAGCAGATCTCCAGGTCTTTCTCCCTCGGGGCTGCTCCCACCAGGGGGGCTCTGTAGTGACCACATGGACAGTCTTTGGCTATCTGGCTGTCACTTTAGGGGAGGGAGAATTTAGGCAGGCTTTTCTTCTCTTTGCAGTGTGGAAGGAGCCTGCTCTGTCCCCAGGGAGCGGGAGGTGCCCGGGCAGCCGGTGCCCGCGTGGCCCTGCACGAAGAGGCCTGCATACATACATCCTCTCAGGAACCGACTCTCATGTTTCTTCCAGAAGCGGAGACAGTGAGGCCCGACCCAGTGGACACTCTGAGTCCAGCACGCTGCCTGGAGTCACTGGCTGCCCTCCGCCATGCCAAGTGGTTCCAGGTGAGAAGGGGCTGTCTCAGACTTGGTGGGGGGAGGGGGGGTCTGGTATGGGGTCAGGACAGCTGGGAGGAGCGTAGCTGGGTGTCCTTCTGCTAGCTCTCAGCAGCTCAGCCCTGGGCCCACTGAGTCAGGGACCCGAGAGCAATGACCACTTCTGTATGGGGACAGCTTGGGCCTCCCCCACCACACACACCCATGTGCCTGGGACCCTGCCTGCTGCCTTTCCTTGTTGTGTGCATCTAGCCTGGCATTTATGTCATAAAACGGCCCCTCCTGGTCAGTGAGTCCTGGCTGGGGGGCATTTGGTCCCCATGTGCTGCACGGTGCCTGACCCAGCTGTCTGCTTCTCTCCCAAGGCACATGCCACCAGCCTGCAATCATGCGTGGTGGTCATCAGAGTGCTCCGGGACCTATGCCAGCGCGTGCCCACCTGGGGGGCCCTGCCAGACTGGGTAAGACCCCACTGGGTGGGGATGGGCAGTGCCTCCTTCCCTAGGAAACCACTCTCCTCCCTGGGGCTCAGGTCACGGGACGAGGCTCTGAGCCACAGTCTCATTTGAATGTCATTATCTCAAACCTCAAACCAGGCAGGCCCAACTGAGGTGCCATACAAATGCCCAGGTGCCCTGGCATATGTACAGGTCTGATCCATAGCCGCTGGCACAGGGCAGGGATAAGCCTCTGGGTGGTCCCACCCCACATGCCCTACCCAGGAGTCACCTGTGGCTAAAACACCACCCCCTCGTGGGCCCTTCCTGAGAACATTCCCAAGAAAATAATGGTTTGTGGACAAAGATGTTGAGCACTGGGTATTTTATAGTAGGTGAGAAAGGCAGTGGGGCAGAGAGACAAACAGACAGATGCAGAGAGAGTAGGACAGAGAGACAGAGAAAGAGAAAGAATTACACCAAGACAGCAGGAAAGAGGAAGAGAGGAAGGAAAAGGAGCAAAGCTTCCTATCAATCCCAAGGAGAACAGAGAGGAGGGAGAATTCAAAGGCCCCAGAAAAGCTCACAGAGCAGCCCCATGCCCTGGGTTCCCCCAGTGGGTGGCTATGTGGTTATTAGACCCACCCCGCAGCCCCTCTGCCCTCCCCAGGCCTCTGCAGAGCCTTTCTGCCTGCTGTCTCTCAGTGGGCCTGTCCATTTGTCTGTCCCTGCCACTCACGTTCACACACCCGCTCCCTGCTCCTAGTGGTGTAGCATTGTGAAGTCTGGCTCTGCCACTTCACGTCAGTAGCAGGCACCGGAGCCCAGTGATAATGCCTGTTCTGGGCTTGTGACCTCCCTGGGTGGGATAGATGGTAACTGCACTTCAGTGACTTATTGCATGGTTGGAGGTTCGAGTCCACTCACAGGCACCTCAGAAGAAAGGCCTGGCAACCTACTTCTGGAAAAGTAGCCATCAACCCATTTGTGGAGGGAGCACAGTTACACCGTGACACTCATGGGTCACCGTGAGTCAGAGTCTACTTGACGGCACTTGGCTACTGATGCCCCGGGTCCTGGCCTGTGTTTGGCCTTATTTGGGGGTGCTGGTCCTGGAGCCATGGGCTGGGATCCTAAAGGTATGATTCCTGCCCCTAGGGGCTCTACCTGGGTCCCAGGAAATGCCCCTCATTCACTCTGCTAGCTGGCCAGCTCACTTTAGAAGATCCTCCACCTAGCCCAACCACAGTGCCCCATCCCAGGAGCTCCCAGTGACAAGGCCCTACAGGGGCACCTAGGGAGGGCTTCTTGGAGGAGGTGGTGCACAGCCAACACTCGCCTCTTTACCCGCACCACAGGAGTCCACAGCGTTACTGTGCACAGATCTCACAGACGGGAAGTAGGCTTAGAGAGCGTCATGCTAGGGGAAGTACAGCGGACAGGCTGGAGGAGATCGTGGGTCCCCTTGGAACTCCGTAAGGGGTACGGGACCCTAGGAACTGATTCTGTGGGGAGGGGAGCTGGCCCCAGTCCCCCTTTAAACCGACTGTGGTTGGTCTCTCCCCACCCACCCTAGGCAATGGAGCTGCTGGTGGAGAAGGCACTGAGCAGCGCCGCAGGACCCTTGGGCCCAGGGGACGCTGTGAGGAGGGTCCTGGAGTGTGTGGCCACAGGGACGCTGCTCACAGGTCAGTTCATGGTGGGTGAAACTCAGAACGGGTGGCAGCCACCAAGACCACCACCATGCATAAGAACGTCATTGCGTGCAGCCCAGATGGGACCAAAGACGCTCGCTTCACAACAGAGCACGTGGGGCAGTGACAGGCCAGCCTGGGTGGTGGGTGGGGAGGCAGACAGATGCTGCAAAGGGATCTGCTCGAGGTCTAGTAGCAGGTGGGGCTGCTGACGTTGGAGACACAGTGAGGGGCCAGGCTGTCGGCAGCAGTCTGCCTGTGGCTTCGTGGTGATGGACCGTGCACACACAGTGTGCTTTATAATTAGGAGACCGTCCGTGGAGCCTAGAGCAACAACATGCTCTCTTCACAGGGGAAGGTGGTGGTGGGCGCGTGCCCACTCATGGTGACCCTGTCCAGGGTGTCTGAGGTGTGGCTGGTGCATTGGAACCACAAGCAGTGCTATAGCGCCCCGCCAGGACTCAATATGAGAAGGTGTTAGATTCAAAACAAAGAAAAAGATGTTTCTAAAGTCATTATCAAGGAGCTCTGGTAGCGTAGTGGTTACGAATCAGGCTGCGAACCGCAAGGTCAGCAGTTCGAAACTACCAGCTGTTCCTCGGGAGAGAGATGAGGCTTTCTGCTCCCGTAAAGATTTACCGCCTCAGAAACCCTGTGCAGGGTCACTATGAGTCGGAATCGACTCCACAGTACTTAACAAAACAACAAAGTCATTATCAGTGACACAGGATTAAGTGAAAAAAGAGAAATCAGGCCTGTGGTTTGAGCCATTCAGGAGTCACTGGGTGTTGCTAGTCTAAAGGTTGGTAGTGGAGAAGCACATTGGAAGAAAAACCTGGTGATCCGCTTCCAGGAGGCCTTGAACGCCCCATGGGTCCTGGTTCTACTCTGTACACAAGAGGTCACCATAGTTCCAAGAGGAAGCACTACATAGAAGGCTGAGCTGAGCTCCTTGCCTGGGAGCCTTGGGTGGGTTGCGGGGGAGACAGATGCCATGGCGCACCCATGGACAGTTTGCACGAGGCACCTGACCCTGCCAGCCCCCCACGTTGCAGTGACAGTGTGGAAGAGCCTCTCATAGTGTCTTCCATCTCTGCTGACCCCAAAGGTGGGCCCGGGCTGCAGGACCCCTGTGAGCGCGACCCTACGGATGTTCTGGACTCGATGACAACTCAGGAGCGAGAGGATATCACAGCCAGTGCCCAGGTAGGGGCGCGGCGTGGGCAGGTCCTGCTGAACGCCTCGACTTACCGTTCCAGCTCAACTTCCGTTGGGGGCGCAGGGGGAAGGGGGACCTGCTGGGATTCCAGTCCCGTTTTCAACCCTGTGTCTTGGGCAATGGTGTGGGGGTTCCCATCCCTCGTGACCTGGGGCAACAAAGCTGCTGGGGGGACTTGGAGCAAAGCCAAAATCCCTGCGTAGAGGAGCAGGCTGAGGGGGGTGAGGGGAGGGTGGGACTCCAGAATCAGCCGGCCAACCCTCTGCGCAGATCTCCGGGTTGTATAACATGGCATCGCTGCTGGCTTAAGCCTTGTGGAATGAATGAATTTCACAGGATCAGAACTGCCAGGGAGAGTCAGGACTTGGGTCCCTTTCATAGATAGGACACACTGGGGTCCGAGGGTTGCGAGCCTTGAGGACAGTTCTCAGGACCTTTCCTCACACCTGAGGTGGTGTCCACAGTGACAGGAGTGATGTAGTAGGGCAGGTGATGGCCCACAGACAGGAAGGGTCCACACAGGGGCCTGGGTAGTGGGGAGGAGGGTGAGGGGCAGCCGGGGTCCTGACAGTTTGTGCCCGCCCCACAGCACGCACTCCGCCTGTTAGCCTTCCGGCAGATCCACAAGATCCTGGGAACGGATCCTCTGCCACCACACAGCAGGCCCAGGGCCCACTTCCGGAAGAGGCTGCGGGAGGTGGGCCATGCTGAGGAGGGTGAGGGCGAGAGGAAGCAGGTCCGGAGAGGCGAAGAGGAGCCTGCCTGAGCCGCCACCACCACCAGCCACTGGACAAATATCCACAGTGTACACACACTTCTGTGTACCTGTGCGCCTGGACAGCTTGTGCTCCATCCCGGACATTTGACAACCGGTATTATTCTTTAGGATCGCGTGCTGTGTGTAGGTTTCTTTAAAGACACCAGTGCTCAAATCATTAAAGACATTGCCTCACCCTTTGGTGTCCTGGGACCATCCCTTGAGGCCGACCAGGTAGAAGGGACAGGCACACCTATTCTAAACATGGGTACTGGTGGTGTATTCCGGGTGACAATGAACCCAGTATCTGGAAGCCTGATCTGGAAGGTTCTGGAAAAGGTCACAGGAGACCCAGTTAGGAGAAGCTGGGTATTGGGGGGCCAGTTTAGCATAGCAAAGCCCCAGGAAACCCCAGTCCCAGCCAGCCGGCTTCTGGCAGACCGCACCCTTCACTTGGTGGAGGCAGCTGCGTGCTGAGCTGGCCTTGTCCCACCCCAGGGAGGGCCCACACTTGGAAGCCAGACTGGACCCCGAGCCTCTGGGTGCCTTTGCAGGGAGAGGTCACCTGTCACATCTTGCCTTCCTACCTTCCTGCCATGGGTCTCTTCAGAGCAGGGCTTGGGAGGGACCCTGCCTTATAGCAATGGCACTGACCCCAAGAACCGGATACGGTGACCCAGAGTCCTCAGGTTTGCTTGAATTCATTTCTGAGTTTAAAAGGCAGTCTCAGCCTGTGTGTAACTTCATATCCCACATCTCCGTAAAGCTCCCTGGAAGTTGGAGGAGGGAATAAAATGAGGTATCTTCTCTATGTGGAGTGCCCATCTGGTCAGCCGTAGACCCGACCTACTGACCTGACCCCTTTGGGCTCTGAGTGAGGTCACAGTCCAAGAGACAGTTCACAGGACCAGAGCTACCCAGTGGGGCACCCTCAGGCTAGTGTCAGGTCCTGGGAGTGTACGGGGACAGGACAACTGGACATCACCCCCTGGAAGGTGTGCCATGGTGTCAGGGAGCTCCCCGAGATCTGGTCTGAGAGATAATCATTCACACAGCAGACAGTGGATGGACTAGCAGCCAGGAAGGCTTCTCGGAGGAGAAGGTAGCCATGCTGAGTGTGGCAGGGCAGGGCAGCCGGCAGACTCCACACCAATAGCTCCCCCTCTACACACACAGTTTCCCCAAACCACAGAGGGTGGGGAGGGGACTCCAGGGGAAAGAGCTGACCGGGCAGACCTCCGGGGCTCACTGGTCACGAGGCAGCGATGTGGGGAACAGGAATCTGGGGTGCAGTGACACATGGCAAAGAGGCCAGCCAGGACTCTCTCCACAAAACCCAGCCCAAAAGCAGGTCTACCTTTCCTGAGCAGCCAGGCCCACCTATCACCACGGAAACAGGAAGTGGTTTGAGTACCTTGTGCTCAGACCTCCCTCGGGGACAACTGATGTCAGAAGAGGCCTGGGCCTCCCTGCCTCACACACCCCTGCAGCACCAAACTCAGAGAGGGCCCCTCTGCCCAGCAGTCTGCCCTCTCCCCTCTTGTCTGTCTCCCCAACACACAGCCCAGCAGAGCCCTTGGCGCCCCCACACACTTTTTCTCAACTGCCCCAGTTGTCTCATCTCCATCAGCAGCACTGAATCCAACACATTCACCAGGCTGACTGCCACCACCACTGGGCAGCCCTCCTGGATTCCTTTGTGGGCCATAGCTAAACCATCAGGAAACCCGATGGGCTCCACTTCCCTCTCCATCCTTGTAGCTCTGTAGCTACTTAAACCCGCCCGGCCACTGCGCCCAGGAGAAAAGTCCCAATCCAAACAGCATCCCCACAAGAAACTATCTGCCACCCTCTCCTTTGATCCCTCAGCTCCAGCCCCACCTCTCTGCTGATCTTCAGATAAGTCTAACTTGTTCCTACCTCAGGGCCTTTGCACATTCTATTCCTGCTGCTGCGTATGCTTTTCCCTGACTTGTGTGGTTTCAGTTCAAATGTCACTCCATCCCCCGCCTCTCAACCTGTCACAAGATCTTATTCGCTTTCTTTATAGACATAGAACTTCTAGAATTATCTGTCACCTGGTCTTTCCCTTGGCAACAGGGCTTTACTGTAGGCAGATACGGGTCAGGCTTTCTCCCCACTGTCTCCCAGATCTAGAACAGGTCACAGACACACTAACCAGTTAATATGGAGTCAGTTCTAACTTGGGCAATCCCATGTGTGTCGGTAGACCTGTACCCTGGGGGGGAGGGGGGGAGCTCAATGATCGATTGATAAGAAGTTGGTTGCCAGCCCTTTCTCCCTAGTCTTAGTCTGGAAGCTCTACTAAACCTGTTCACCATCCTAGCAACACGCCAGCCTCCGCAACGAGACAGGTGAAGACTGTACATTGGTCGAGACTTGAACTTGAGTCTTCCACATAGAAGCCCAGCCCTGAACCACCACTGCCCCCAAACTGTACCATCAAGTTGACCCCAACTCCTGGTGATCCCACATGTGTCAGAGAAGAACTGTGTCCCACAGGCTTGTCCATGGCTGATTTTTTGGAAACAGAACACCAGGTCTTTCTTCCGAAGCACTGCTGGGTGGACTTGAACCTGCAAGCTTTTGGTCAGCCACTGTTAACGTTGGCACCACCCAGGGACCCCCTGAGCACACACCAGGGACTCACTGTTAACGTTGGCACCTCCCAGGGACCCCCTGAGCACACACCAGGGACTCACTGTTGTTGTGGGGTGCCATCAAGTCAATTCCAACTCCATAGCGACCCCATGTGACCGAGTCCAACTGCCCCACAGGCCTTCCTAGGCTGCCATCTTGATGGTAGCAGATCATCTGGCCTTTTCTCTGCAGAGTGGCTGGTAGCTTTGAACCCAGCACTTCACCACTGACCCCCCCTCCCCCAGGGGCCCTCAGTAACTATCTGTTCAATGCGTGAAGCCAGATTCCCACCCGCCAAGGCAATTCTCCTCATATGCGGATCTGCTTCTGAGTGATGATGAACAGAACAGGGCTCTGCCCACATCTCATTACAGAGGATGATTGCTGTGGCTGGGAGGATGGACAGGAGGGATGTGGTGGGCTCGACGTCACAGCCGCACCTCTGCTGTCTTGGCAGACAGTCTTCCTTCCTCCCCGCATCCTGCCTCATAACTCACTGCGCACCGTTTCCCTCCCTGGCTGCCAGGGAAGGCGGGTATCACACTCGACACCAGGTGGTCTAAAAGCAAGCCTGTTGACAAAGAGTTAAGCCTACCCTCCCAGCAACTCCAAAAGCCCCAGCCTCGTCTATGCTGCAGCAAAATCCAGCCGTGAGTCTAGTGACATGTCAGGACCAGATGGTTGAGCCGGCTGTCTTATAGGCCTTTCGTCCCCAGCCGTCTCCCTGCATCCCCTCCTCCCCATAGCAGCCCAGCAGGGAGGCTTGAAGACCTCGGACCAGACTCCAGAGGAGTGGGACCAAGAGGCGAGCAGTGGCGGCTGCAGATGCTGTCCTGGCAGGCGAGTCTGGTTGCTAGGCAACACGGTGAGTGTGGGATGCTGAACGGGCAGTGTGGGCAGGGCTGGAACTAGGCGGTTGAGAAAAGACCAGAATGGGAGGGCAGACATGCGGGCGGCTCCATCTGCAAGGTCATTGGAAATAAGAAAGATCTGCTTTAAAATGCCCCGGGTCCCCTCCTCCTTGAGTCTGAAATAAGCTGGGGGGAGAGGGATCTGGGAAATAATGACACATGTAAAACCCAACGAAACCCACAGCAACCCCATATGACAGAGCAGAACTGCCTCATAGGGGTTTCTAGGTGATCATCTTGACGGGAGACGTTTGCCAGATCTTTCTCCTAAGAGCAACTGATGGGTTTGAACCGCCAACATTTATGTTAATCCTCGAACACTAACCACTTACATTAACATGGTGATTCAATGGATTAATATGTACTGGAAGCCCTGGTGTGGTGCTGTAGGATAAGCACTGGACTGCTTACCGCAAGGTGGGTGGTTCAAGCCCACCAGCTGCTCCTCGGAAACCCTATACAGGGTTGCTGTGGATGGGAACCCACTCAACGACATTTAATAACAATGACGTGTACTAAACGTTTAGTGGTGTGGGACCTGGCCACAGTCAAACCCGGAAGTCAACTCTTACTGATGGTGGTAGTGGTGGTTATGTGCCGTGGAGTTGGTTCCGACTCATAGCGACCCTGTACAGGGTTTCTGAGGTTGTAAATCTTTACGGGAGCAGAAAGCCTCATCTTTCTCCCGTAGAAGAGTTGTTAGTTTCAAACTGCTGACCTTGCGGTTCACAGCCTGATTCGTAACCACTACGCTACCAGATAGCCCATGGGAATCAGAGTAGAACTGCTGCCTGGGTGAGCTTGGCTGTCATCTTTCTGCAGGCGGATTGCCAGGCCATTCCACCGAGGCACCCACTGTTCAGATCTTAGGTGCCAACTGTACCACTTGTTCAGTGCCATTGACTTGGTTCCCACTCATAGCGACCCTGTCTAGGGTTTCCAGTATGTGGCTGGTGAACTTGAACCACCAACCTTACAATTCAAACCGCCCTTACAGTCCAGCGCATTAACCCGCAGCACCACACCAGGACTCCAGTTGTGCCACGAGGGACCCTAACAATATACTGTTGTAGTTCTGGATGGTATTGGTTACCTCTGAGTCCATCCTGACAGTGACCGCATGTGTGTTGCAGAATGAACTACACTCCATAGGCTTTTCATGAAACAGCTTGCCAGGACTTTCTTCTGAGGTACTTCTTGGTGGGTTGAAATCATCAAGCTTTTGATGAATAATGGAGTGCTTCACCATATGTGTCACCCAGGGACTCCTTCATGATTTATGTTGTCATCGGGTACCATGGAATCCATTCCATCTCACAGCCATCCACCTGCCCACAGGGTTTCCGTGACTGGCATCTTAACAGAAACAAACCACCAGGCCTTTCTTACGTGGTACACTGGGTGGGTTTAAACCGCCATTATTGGGGTTAGCAATGG